TGCTGAATTTAAGTGACTGATGGATTCTCTTCACCTGAGGTGCAATTTTCCCCTGAAGAAATACTTCCTAAAGACCAATGCTGGCTAGCTGGTATTTATAAGAGAGTCCAAAGGGAATTACAAGTAGGTTGCTAGGGTTATCATTTACTCAGTGGTTTCTGCCGATATTGTAGCACAGAGATCCCACAGCACTTCTTCTTAGCATGTGATAAATTGTGTACCAGGTGAAGGTGAGAAAGGAGTGCAGGCAGCCACCGTGACTGCAGACTGTTGCTTTGCTACTCCTGCTATGAACCTGCCATTTCTCCACCAGCAACCACCAGCACCTTAGCTGCGCCCAGCTTTGCTCTTCTTGGCCCGTGATAAACATGTCTGTGTGTTTAGGAGTGCTTTGAGGAGATACTGCGTACATGGCTAAAATCGGGACAGTTCTGCATGACAAGAACAGTACATTTTATGCCTACATTTGCAAGACCCTTATTGTATACCAGCTCTTCATGCAGCCCAAGTGATTTCTAGTAGCTGATACAGTGCAAAATATCAACTAGTGTGAGTAAGAGGTATCTCTGCCTGCTCCAGTAGAGAGGTGTGTTGTTTTGATCTCTCCATCTTTTGATTAAAACTATTATTTTCATTACAGAAAGCTATTCAGATATCTTTTATGTTTAATGTAGCTTCCTTAGTTATTCCTCTTATGGGGAAAAAAATTCATAATTGGGGTGAAAAAAACAAAAAAAAGAAAGAGAGAGTGAAAGTATCCAGTTTAAGAACTTCTAAGTGGTTGTTTTGCTTTGTCCTTTTACTATAAATGTACTTAAAAATAACTAAAGTCCACCCCAAAATCACACAAAACATTACATCGGTTAGGTTCAAAATAAAATATCTAGTGGGATCTGAAATAGATTTTATGGTTTTTTTGATTGATGGAAAAATCACGTACTTTGTTTTTCCTGTACTCTTTCAGTACTGCAAGCCAGTTTAATGTTAATGATTCAGCTGTTATCCAGCTAAAGAAAATAGACTGATGAGGTTAAGTAAGGCCACAGTCAACATCAGTTAATGCAGGGTTGAATGTGTTGCCTGCCTGATTGGTATTAAAAAGAAAGAAGGAAAAGCAATGTTTAGCACCTTCATCTAAAAAAACGACCCGAGTGCCTCCCACCCAAACAAACAAACAAAAAAATTCCCCAGAAAAAACAATTAAAAGGAACTTCCTGAACTCAAAGAAAACGAAGAAAATAGCTGTTAAGGCACTGATGTTATTAATGTCTCTTCTGAACTCATTGTTTGTATATCTTTGCCTTTGCTTTCCTAATTTGGTCAATCACATTCTTTATGATGAGACTCCAAGTCTTCTCATTAATGTTTGAGTTCCTGGGTCTGTTGTGGCTTTGAAAGTTCTTGCTGCATCTTTGGCTCCTCTTCAGTGAGCAGATGTTGACCATGGATGAAAATGTTGAATTAACAACTTACATCTTTATCAGTTCTTTCTGCTGGGAGCTTCTTGCAATTCTGCTTTGAAAAGGAAAGAAGCTTTTTCAAACTTTTATTGTCTCTGGGTCATACAGGTTCTTCTTTTATTCTGTTCCTGTTTAAGTCATAACAAAGAATGTACTATGCCATCAGACTCAAAACTAGTTACTTGTTGCATTTGATGGATGTGCAATCAGAACAGAGTAGCAGCTGGAAAAGTGATGCAGATACTACCTTGGCCTGGAAACTATCCCAGATTTTGAAACTGGGACTCTTGAGGTTGTTTTCTGAGTTTGTTTTCTGAGACACACGATGACTAGATGCATGACCTGCACCTACCTGCATGACCTCTGTTGGACTTAGTTTTCAATATATCAGAGTGCTATGGAGCAGAGGAGTTTGGGCATGGTTTCTGAGACAGCCATGGGCTGCGGCGCAGGGGCTGTTTGGATAAGGCTGAACAGGAGGAGTGGGAGTTGCTGGAACCACAGCTGCTGACTCCACTGCAATGGTCTTGGCACCCCAAGGAGGGCACTGGAATCGAGGAGCAATGACAAAGGTCAGCAGACTCTCAGCATCAGCAAAGTCTGGGCAAAAGCTCAGCCCTTCATTCATTACTGAGCAACCAGAGCGACAAAACAGCCTTTTTCCATAAGAATTTGTGGCCCTGTCCACTGTTCATTGTATTGATTTCAATGAAACTTAAGCACGTACTTAGAATTAAGCACTTCTTTGCCTGGTCCCCTCAGGAGAGAGAGTTTCCCCAACTGGGGCCTAACATGTACTTTGTACAGGGAATCTTCTGACCTAGAAGGTCAGTTAAAGCTTCTGAGGGACTCTGAGGGGATATTTTTAATTGTTCAAAGTCTTATTTTGTTTTTCAGGCTCTGCAAAATAATCGGAATGTGTGTTTGTATAAATGCATAAGGAAAAAACTGGCAAAGGAAGAAGCTTGCTATTCATTGTGGCTCAAGTCCTGTGACTTCAGAGTCAGGCTGAGTTTTCCCGTTGATTTCAGTGGGTGCAGGGGCAAACCTTCTAGCCATTTTCAATGTATAATTTTTTCCCACGTAGAGACAAAAGTAGGTGGTATAAAATTGAGGCATTTTTGCAAAGTATACATACAGATAATATATATATGTAACTTATATGTACATAATATACATAACTTGTAAGGTTATTGTAAGTTTGCTTAATGGTTATAACCTCAGAGTAGAAAATAACCTCCATTCTTACAGTGGAAATCCCAGCACAGGGAGTGAGGCACAAGTGGGACCCATCTAAATGCCAGATCACAGAAGAATTCCTCAGTCTGGCAGCTTTGATATTGTGATCTTCAGGTTAGGTGTACTCCACAGCAAACTCTGCATCCTTTTAGTAGGTACTATCTGGGGGTAGGAATTACCTACTTCTGGACTACTTCCATGCTAAACCACATCTTTGTTGGTGTTACTGCATCTCAGCTTAAACTATGTTTTTCTTGTTTAACTTTGTTAGCTGTTTGTTTAACATGATCTGATGCAAAGTTGTTTTCAAAAAGATAAAGTAAAGCAACAGCACTCTTTGGAAAAGCAGGAGTAGTGACTGTAGAAGACATCCCCCCATTCCTGGCAGCTTTCTAGGCTTGTGCTCTGCAAGTGTGTGTGTTCAACCTAAGGGTATTAATGACTGTGTGCAGACTGAAAATTCAGATGCTCTCCCTCTCCTTTGTTGCAGGAGGAACAGGTCTGAGAAAGGGCAGGCTGGCATGGAGAGAGAGGTAAGTGAAGAAAACCCATGCTTTAAACCAGAAAAATTAAAGGGACTATTCCTAGCATTGCTATTTCATAATATTATTTGTAGTGTGATGGGAGAGAAGTCAACAGACACATAGGCTCCTTTATATCATTGACAAGTCAAGGGGATGATTAACGAGAGTACCAGACAATGTAATGGTAGGAGAAGGCCCACAGAAGTTAAACAAAAGTGCCTTCAGAATTTAGAGAATTCCCATGATCCATAGTAGGACCTCATTGTGCTTGTCTACTGTTTCTATTTTTGATTAGATTTATAAACACAGCACCACATATTTTCATGTGGCTCATAGCCTCAGGGCAGAGAGAGATTGACTGCGCTGAAACTGTGAGGCTTGTGAATTTCGGGCAAGGGATGGAGTGAAATAAGTAGCGTAATTGTTTTTGTGGAGTGACCGTGGGACCTTCTCTGTTCTGAATTACACATGGTTCAACCCTTTGACCTAACCAACCTTGGCAATGCCTGGTAGATCTCCTAAAGCTGTGCTGAAAGGTCCTATCAGTGACATGTTGGAACATTATCTGTCATGTGAGATGTGTGCCAACAACCATATTAAACTACATTAATTACTAGTAAGGCCATGTTTGTGACAATCTCAACTTCATTTAACCCATCATCATGTTAGTTATTGTTTAAACAGGAAGTACAAATGGGGACAATTTATGAAATCAAAATGCATCCCCAATGTTATCTTAAATAAATAATATATTTTAATTTGTTTTATTTATCTTCTGGTTCCCCCCCCCCCCCCCCCAGCATTTTTGTTCTTGTCATCTGCTCTGTAGCTTGAGTTTTTGAGGGCTTTTCTATTTTAAAATCAAGCAACAAGAAGACTTCTTCTTAGTAACTAAACTAATATCCTAGTGAAATTGTTGTTTCTTCCAGTGCAATTGTAAATGATACCACAGTTGACTGAAAGCATCATGCTTGTTTTCTAGCAAGAAGCAGACTTGCTAAGATAGTTTATGTAAGGCTGAAAGATCACATGTGAGTTATTTTATTGATGTACACCTTTACTGTTTTACACTCCAGCTAGTGCATCTCTGCATGGCAATGCTTGCACACCTCTGGATCAGTGAAGCACACATTTCTCTTTAATTCTGAGAACAATTTTCTCGTAGGCCTGGCCCTGTAGGCAGCAAAATGTACCGTCAGTCCTCAAAAGGCAGTGCAGTATGTAGAATTTCAGAAGGATTCTTTGCACATGGTTGTTTTCTGAAGAAATTCTGAATTTTATAGGCGAAGAGGCAAAAGCTTTCCTGCTCTGCATGGGCAGTGTACAGATTCAACCATGCCTCGCTGTGCCCAGCATTGTATTAGACTGGACACATGGGGTTACGTCTTCCACTCACGCACGGAGCTGCTCTTTTTCGACAAGACTTTTCTGGTAGCCTCATTTTCTAGCTAGAATAGGCTTAAACAAAGTGGCTATTTATTTATTTATTTTTTAATTGCTGCAAAGTCAGCTAAAAAATATGTTTGACCCTACTAAGTGTCATTCTCATTAGCAATGAAGAGTTTGCTCTTTGCAAAATCTAACATGGAGTGCTTAAAGCAGACAGGTGCAAATTACAAGCTGTTTCTCTTTGGCTGCCATCCCTTAAATAGACAAAAGTAATAGGCCTGGAGACAGGAAAAGGTTCCAGCTCCAGCTGCATAAAGGAAAGCCTTAACAGGGACTTAGCAGCTGGTTGCAAGAATTAAATGCTGTAAATACCAACTAACGCATTTGTGTGTGTGTGTTCACAGAGGAATGTGTTTGTAGGGTTCCATCCCTTTTTATGTGAGAGGATCATTCTTTGAAAACTGTGCTCTGCTTTATGTTGAAAGGCTAATTCTCTCGCTGAAGTGAATGAGAACAGAAGCCAACATACCTGTTCCTGTTTACCATCATTACACTCCTTAGAGCATTTCAGGCATTATTAGATTCTTGGAGCCCTACCAGATTGACAATATTTCCAGCTACTTCTCTTTTGGCTGTATTCAAACAACGCCCAAAGGAAAAAAATAAAAAACAACAAACCAAACAAAACAACCAACCCACAAACAAAACCATGGATGAATCTGCTGAGCTAGTTTGCTGATGTTAGAAACAGTTGTTCATATTAGGAACACCTAATTTAATTTCATGAAAGAGACATAAAATGCCAGTATGTGTATGAATCTAAGGTATGCATTTCCTAAAAGGAACTAAAACTCTGTCATTCCAAAGTTGCTCTTCTTTTTGACTTCCAGCTTGCATGGGGACTGCTGTCTGGAAGCAGTAACTTTAACTTTAACTCTAAGGCTGCTGATGAGGTCTGTCTGTGTGATCTTCGTAAGCAGATAAGGGTAGGGAGACAGCTCAGAGCAGAGCTTGTTTACAGTGGGACAGAAGAAAACAGCTAGACATAAATGAGGGCTGACGGTTTCATGAAGCACAATTGGTTGATCACAGATTCAATATGACTGCCCTGAACTGAGCGATGATCCGTACAGTATGCAAAATTCACTTTCTTGCTGGTCTGTGCCCACCAGCCTTCCAGCAGCTTTCCCAGAGCCCCTCAGCCACAGCTTTGAGTGGAACCAGAGCTGAATGCAGCATTGTTGTACCCAATTCCTTTTGACAACAATCACATTCTTTTAAAAACTTCATAGGTTTTAGTTGTCACTGGTTATAAATGAGGGTTTTTTCCCTCGCTGTTGCTGCTGCTGCTGTTGCAGTGCTCCCTGCTCTCCTGCAGACCCCAGTATGGCGGGTACTGATAGTCCTGGTTTTCCTTTGTTTCAGTGGGTATCGGAAAGCAGGCGATGCTTTTTAATGATGACGGCATGCAAAAAGGCATTTGAAGGTTTAGGTCACTTTTTGAGTGACATGGTGATTAGTCTACGCTGTGCTCACTTTTAACTCCTCTTGTTTTTGCTGTAATGTAGCACTCTCAAGGTAAAAAGACATTTAAAAAAAAAAAGTTAAAATGCAAGGCTTGTCTTTTACCAACTGTGTGGAGCTTTGAGATAGGATAAATTGCTGTAAGCATCAGCAGCACCCTTTAAACTTGACTTTGCATGCAAAGGATATCCCCCTTCTATGTGGTGGCTGTGGATGGACAGGTCTGATGTGTATTGTTTGTGGCTGTGAGCTGGACCACCTCTATCACAGGTGTAAACCAGCACAGCCTTTGCGTCACCTGAGCTTTGGCCTCAAGTTGTGTAACTTTGTTTCTTTTTTAGGAATGCTTTTTTGTGTTTATTTTTGGATAATGTTCTATAATTAGAACAGTAGCTTTCTGAACGGATGTACGTTCATGTGCATTTGTCTAGGTACGCTCGCACAACTGGACTTTGCCTGCAAATATGGCAAGTGGTCACTGAAACAGTTTTATTTAATTTGCTACTGGAAATCTTAAGTTTTGCAGGTACCCATGAACTGATTAACAAACAATTGCTTTAGACATAGATTGGCATAAATACATAAATTAACTAGTAGAGACTAATGATAAAATGAATATAAAATGCTACTGGATATTTTCCTGCCTATTCTCTGATGAGAAGGCAAAGTATCATAGGGGTAGTGAGCTGGGGAAGAAAACTTAAAATTATGTGGGAGAAGAGTGTAACTTACACTACTGAAAAGTGTTTATGTGTAAAAGAGAGAATGATGAAGAAATTGGCTGGAGATAGGTATGAAAGGAAAATATCTTCTAATTTCCTCTGAAGCACAAAGTGACAGGAACATGTGTTGATTACACAAAGGCCACCACTGAAATAATCTGTTATTCAGTTATGTTGAGAAGTAACCCTGGAAGAACTACTCTTTGCTGCTGAAAATCAGACATTGCTTTCATTCTGAAAATATGTACTCATGAGAAACACCTTTTCAAAACCTTATCACATCAAGGGACAAGGACATAATTTCTTTTGAAATTCTTTCTAAGTAAGTAGGAGTGGTAAGTCTGTTATATCAACTCAAAAATACTAATTTGCATCTGGGTGTGTTAAATGTTAAAGAATGTTTTGCTTTTTTTTAAAGAATATTTTGCTAATGTAATGCTATTTTGTTTAAAAAACAAATGTTGGTGTTAATTATTCTGAACACTTAAAAAACCCCCTAAAACAGCAGCAGCAACAATTGAACAAATAAAAAAACAACACACAAAAACCCTCACTCCAAAACATGAAGACCCACTATGCATCTTTATTAGCTATGGGAGAGGAGAAATACTTTTTTTTTCTTGCTGGGAAAAAAGCCTATGTGTTTCACACACTATACAATTGAAAGTTGACTATGGTCAACATAGCCTCCAATTGGGTTTGCTAGGGAAAACTGACATGCTGAAGGAATACATAGAAAGTAATACACGTCATCTTAATTTCTTCAAAGGAATATACTGACTAACAATAGTTGAAAATTTTCCCCAGAATTTTTGACTAGATCTTGTTTCCTTTAGCTGTTAATATAAAATGTAAGGATTTAAATGGTGATTATATGCAGCATAATAAGAATATTTATCACACAACAGTGTTACAAATACTGTTGGAATCTTTAAAACTTTAAAATTAAAATTTTATGGTGTGCAGTAATGCAGTGATGCCTTAATATTGCAAAAGAGATATAATTCTAAAGGTACTAACTGAGCAAATATGTATTTTTGAAATTTTTTCTAGTTTGGGAAAAATATCAGAAGCAGTAGGGTGAATTTCTGAACCTATTGAGCTCCTGTCAAAATTATCATTAACTTCAGTTAATGCTGCATGTGGCTTGCAGGAATTATTTCTGTTAAAGTATTTATTGTATCTTTCATAATGTGTCTGGTGATTTTTTACACATTTGCTTTTTAGTAGGGTAACAGTCTTAATTTAAAGGAAGTCCACTGTTTGCAGAATAACATATAAGCATGTATGCATACATTCATGTGTGTGTGTGTATATATATATGAGAGGATATTAATATCTATATTAATCTGTCAGTGGTATGGTTCAGTTATTTTTGACACTTTTATTGATTGTGTCTGCTGCAAGCATTGTTTTTTTTACTGGAAATTGACACCTACAATCAAACAGGAAAGATGGATGCTGTGAAAATTGCGATTTTTCAATGATTCTTGTAATTAATCCTTTTGTATTGACAGTTTCCAGGAGCTATGTTGCCAGGAGTGGTCTTTATCTCTGGACAATTAAGCAACTGGCTTGAAAAAATAATGCTGTTATCAGAAACTGCCATGTGATGTTTGAAATATAAATGGGTCTGAACTGTTTTCTTACTTTGGTTTTGGCTTTGATTAATATTCCCAGATGTGCTTTGTTTTAGGTAATCTTTGCCTACTTTGACTGTTAGCATCTGTTATAGGGGTCTGTAGCCACATACAAGCCCATGCATGTCTCTCTTGTTAGCGCTGCTCAAGGTATTATACAAAGACGGTGTTTAGCACTTGGGCCTTCCTGATGGTAGTGATATGACTGCATTTTTTATTTTTTATTTTTTATTTTTTATTTTTTATTTTTTATTTTTTATTTTTTATTTTTGTTAGCTTTTCTTCCCCATGGGAATTAACATGGAGTTTGTCAGAGTTTAGATCCTCCAAGACATCCTGCTATTTGTTTCCACTGTAACTGTTGCTGACATCTCTCTAATATTAAATGAACTTTTCATCGATGTAATGAGTCCTGCTTCCCCTCTCCCCTGGACCGAGATCTCTCTTTTGTGACATAGAGTCATAAATTGTTTTAGAGTTATTTTTATTTTGTTGCCTCGTATGAAAGGGTAGAGCTCATTCATTTTTAGCTGCTCTGTGATGAACAAATGCACTGGTTATGTAATCAGACCTAGAAAATAAGAGCACAAGGAATGTCAGGGAAGTCTGTCTATAAATATGCTGCATAACCAAACTTTTCTAAATGAAGCATTGCAATTCTGCAAGTGAAATAAAGCAGTTGCTGCTGAATGCATACTGTAAAGACGAGTCTTATAATGTTCTTCATTTGTTGAGGTTTCTTTGCATTAATTAAAATTGGAGAAAAAACAAAGTATTTTAATGTGACCTTCATTTGGCATTTGTTTTAACTTTTCTTCTCCTATTTTATTTAATTCTTCCACTTCTGTTGTTCAATTAGTGTTTGACCCCTTTAGCAGAGATGTAAATTAAATGACATTTCAATGCCATCCCATATTTAAAATACTGTGTTAGTTGTGGATCATAAAGGATGATCTTCGTTCTTTAGCTAATTTATTCATTTAACAATTTCCCTCCAGAAGTTCCAGCAGAAGGCTCTGAAGCAAACTAAGCAGAAGAAATCCAAGTCGGCTGAATTTCTGATGGGTGAGCCTTGCTTGATGAGTTATTGCTCATAATTTGTGTAAGGATTAATTAACTAATTACAGACAAATGGCTGTGGGCGAAATTTTGCTCTTGCTTGTCAGGGTGCAATTTGTAATTATTTTAATCATTTATTCTTTTTTTTTTTAGAGTTAATTTTAACCTAATTCTGTTTTGGCGACATTTGAGGACGATACACTTGAGTCTTTCAGCAAAGGAATTACTAGAAGGAATTTTCTGCTTGTCATTGAAATACACTTTGCTATAATGTGCTCTTCTGACCTCCTTGTTTTCTGCAGTAAAAGACGAGAGAGCAGCAACAGAAGGCATTGAAAATCCAGCTTTTAACATCAGCAGCACAGATCTTTCAGCATATCAGCCTTCAGAAGAGAAAGTTATTAGACATGACAAGCCAGATAGCACCCTTGCAGCTCACCAACAAAAACTCAGACTGCAAGCCCATGCTGAACCAAGAGGTGAGACATCAAACTTGATTAGCCTCAAACTCGGTGACAGTGGTTGTGTTCCCCATCCAACCTGCGTGCTCCGTGGCCTGCAACTGGGCGATTCTCATCCTCATCCTGACTTGTCCAAACAGGTGCCCCTGGAAACTCTGGATGGGAAAACCAAAATACTGCAAAAAACACCCAGGCTCCATCTTCATGCTCAAGTGACTCACAGTAATGAAGGGTGCGGGTTCCGCTGTGCTCCCCGCACGCGGGGAGGAATGCAGGGAGCAGGCGCTCGTTGCAGCACTTCCCTGTAATTTGTGTCAGGTTGGGTTTCGGAGGCTCTGCAGCTGGTCCGAGTGCACAGATGCTGCTCCCTCACATTGAGTACTTTTAAACAGCTTACAGATCCATGATTGATTGTTGTCCTTAGGTTTCCCATATGTCCTCAGTCAATCAGCATCTTGCCTCTGCTTTATCTTTTGTTATGTTTTGTTCAGCCAGCATTGCTCAGATACTTGGAGCAGAGAGTCCTGTTTGCTCAGTTTGTCTAGTGGAGTGATTCTGGCTTTCAAGCTCAGCTTTGATGCAGCACCCAAAATGCCACTGCCTCTGGAAACAATCTCTGTTTATTATTTAGGTTTATTCTGTAAGGAATATAGGCTTATAAGAATCTTCACTGGTGTCAGTTTTCCTTTTGCAGAGGTTTGGTATCTTCTAGCCTATTGTTTAATTACTCCATTCTGAATTATTATTACTGCTGAATGTTATGACGAATTAGAATGTTATGACGAATTATTATTTTTACTTAGTAATCCTGTGAGGAAGAAGGTGAGGAAAAGATTTTAAAGGCATCTTGTGAGCTATATGAGGAAAATCTTGGGCCAAGCTTTAACATAAAAGCAAAAAATGCCTGAAGTCAGATTAAAAATCTTCCCTAAATACTTATTGGACTGTGCGGTCTCATTAACTTCAAGTGGACTGCACGCATCCATGAATATGTAAATGTGCATCCAAGGTCCCAGACCTCCCGAAGTACCAAAGGATCTGGCATGTCTTTCAAGAGTCCTGATCACCCAGCAGTTCCCATTAACTCTCCAGCATTGATGCTGCTTGCTAAGTACTCTCGTGTGTCAGCCCAGGTATTTAAATTGATAAGTACAGGCTGGTGAGCAGAACTCCGGGCATTCACTCTTAAAACTCTGGATCTTGTTGTGTTAAGATTTTATCCTTGCCGGACTGGAGAGCCCATGGCTTCTAATGGCCCCTTGCAAAATTAGGTTTGACTTTCCATTTAGCCTTCATGTGACTCTGTGCAGCACTGCATGGAGCAGGAATTCTTCGTCTTTCCTTTGCGGCCTGTCAGAACAGTGATTAAGCAGACAAAGGGATTGATTGTTTTTTAATGAAATAGTCTATCTGGCAAAAAATGAAGTCGGGCTCACTGGAGACTATCCACACTTTCAGTCACCTCTTCAGAAATTCATGAATAGTTCCCTCAAGAAAACAACAAATTTTTTTAGAAGCCTGAAATGTGTTTTTAAACATTTTGATTTTTCTTCCTAAATAACATTTTGCTCAAAAAATCCTAACTGAACATAATCTTTGTGAAAGGAGTAGAAATTGCTACATTTTGCCTGGAATGCAATGCCTTGATACACTGCTAAGTGTTACTGTAATGGGAGAGGAAATCTTGCTGAGCGTTGGAAAATTTTGTTTCCCAACACTGTGTCTCCCTCCTCGACCCTCTGTTAATCCAGTTAACTGAAAGATCAGTTATTCATGTAGCTCTGCCTGTAAGTCACGCAGCTATTAAAAAAAATAATCATCCATTTATACCATCATAAAAATCCAGATTGGAAGAGACCTCTAGAGATCATCTGGTCCAACCTTGCATTAAATTGTTCTTAGTCTAACTCATGTCAGGACTTGTTTGGCAGTCAAAGGGGCCAGCTTAAATTTATCAAGGGCTGCAAGTAAAACAACAGCTTCAAGTCTGTCCAGAAACCTGGGAAAAAATGGAACTAAACCTTCTGGTGCCTCAAAAGCTAATTTTTCCCCTTCCCAAGTGTAACAATACTTCATTAAAGAGGGAAGGGGAAAAGGCAACTGCATAGGTAAGCACAGTATCATATGAATGTAATAATGTATAGATGATCATATTTCAGAGTTCTCACTAAGGACCAAGTCTACGGGTAGCTTACCCCTTCTTGTGGCAATCTGCTGTGGGTTAGGACTACCAGAGCCCATGGGGATTGGCTCCTTGAGCCTGCCTTCCTTTGCTTTGCTCCATGTTTGTGGCCACTGAGTATAGCTGCTGTCACTTCAGCTCATGGCAAAACTGCATGTGGTGTTAAAACAACCATGATCCTCTAGCAGAGGGGAAACTTTTCCACAGCTTGCCTTCTTCTGCCCCTCAGCCCTCAGAAGCCACTGTGTCGTCCACAAGAGAGATTTCAGCACAGAAGTGTGGGCAGTTTTTTGCTTGCTTGTCTGTTTTTGGTTTTGTTTGGTTTTTAGTTTTGTAGGGGTTTTTTCTGTAGGGTTTTGTTTGTTTGTTTGTTTTTCCTTTCACTCCCCTAGGAGACACGACTTGCACCCCACACTGGAAGATATTTCTCTAGAAGTGGGTGCTCACACACATCATCATGGCTTGTTGCCCCCAACTTCGCTATGCTAGTGAAATGGCACTTCTTTCTCCACCTCATGCCAGGCTTCCTTCCCTTAAGGGAAATGCTAGCCAAGTACAACAAAACAGCCTGTTTAAAATAAACATATTTTAGGCTCCTCCACTGGCCCCTTTCACTCTTTTCCCCTTTGCTTTCCCAGATGTCAATAAAATACTCTTCCTTTACTCCACTGCAGGACCATCGGGTGTCCTTCCAGATATCACCCCCCAGGCTCAGGTTTGGTTACTTACTCAGTGAAGAATGACATTTGTCAATTCTAACACTTGATGTTCAACTGTACAATTTAAAAGCAGTTATAACCTTAAGCACAATTATTTAATCGCAGCATTTAGCAGATTACAGTTTCAAAACCACTATATAAACATCAGGCTGGATTTTCAGCCTATGCACTTGAAGGCAAGGGCTCAGAGATGGCATTGCCTTTGCATTATCTTTCCACACATCACCGTTTTGTTAATGGCAGCAGATAATAGGTACAGGGATCCTATCATTACCTCCATCTTGCAACAGTGCCACAGCCTGTTCCTCTGTCAGCAATTGCTGGAGGGAAGAGTTCTCTAGAAAAATCTCCACCTACTTTGGAGATGCCTTCTCACACACCTCCGTGCTAAGGATACTGGGAAGGAGTGTGAACAGTCAGCTGTGTGTTCAAGACAGCCTAAAAAACCTGCTTCTGGAATTTGGCTATGACTGCACTGGAGGCTGCTGTGCAGAGTACACATCGCTTGGGGATTAAATAGCCATTGCAGAGGTCCATGACATTGCGACTTGACTGCGTCTGCCCCATAAACAGCTTAATTCACAGGTATGTTTGTGCTATATTGACTTTTCCATTCCCTTTCCTCAGATAATAAAACATCTTCTGAAAAGGGAAGCCTGTGAATAGATTCTTGTTTTCAAGAAACTGACGAAATCTTTCCAGTGTTTTTTTTTTTTTTCAGAGGCTTCTTCACCTCTCAAACCAGGTTAGCGGAACCTGTTCTTGTGCTTCAAAGTGCAAGGCTCTTGTATGTTTTGCTTGTGGGGAAACTGAGGCAAACCAAGAGGCCTTATCTGCAGTCACTCTGCAGGCCTGTGATGGAAATAGAAATAAAACCTCTCATTCCTAGTCCATTGCTCTGTTTGTTAGGCCATTCTGTCTCACACTGCTATATTTCCCATGATTGACAATATTCCAGATTTTATCATCATTAGTGGACTGTTGTTCAGGAATAGTCCATTGAGTAACTCTTTCTGCTGTATGTTTTCCATCATTATGATGAAGACCTGGTACTGCTGTTAAATGTTATAGTGACCCAGGGGAACTGGCTGACTATTTACTGAGATTAATCTCCTGATTTTCAGCCAGATAATTGGTTGCAGCAGCTTCTACCCTATTTTCTCTTCTTGATTCTATGCTGACTCTCTGCTGATCAGTCCTATCACCTTCATTTCTTTCACATATTTCTTGCGAAATTAAGGTCATCTAGCAGCAGTCTTGTCTTTGCCAAATTGTGCAATTTATTTGTTTCTGAAAGTACTGAGTTTCCTTGTGGCTACATCCAACCAACTCTTCTGCTTTTCTTCCCCTCAGCAAATACTGAATTTGCAGAAATTTTCATGTTGACCATCCTAACAGGAGGTCTAAGAAACAATTTTCGCTGGGAAAAATGTATGGGGTTGTATCACCCAAACCTGCAGTGACAGGAACCTGTGTATACCTCTTTCTCAATTGTCAGGCACCTGATCTCAAGGTGAGCCAGACTCAGCTTTTCTTATTTTCCCCAGAGAGGTTTAAACTTGAAACACTTTGGAGAGTACCCTAATGTTCAGACTGGCTTGGTTAAGTGTCTACTCAGCAAAAGGCTTCCAGTAAATTGTGATGATGGAAGCACCAAGCCTCCAGGAATATACCATCTTTGGCTGATGGCAGAATACAAGGGTAGCTGCTCAACCTCAGATGGATAGTGTATGTCACAAGCAATCCCTTAACACAGGACTACTGTACTTAGCTTTTTATCATAGGCCTGCAAAGGAAATGTTTATCTATTTCAGCATTTGATGTGTTTGTCCTTATCTGCTGTGATCAGAAAATGTGCAAATGGCTTATACCAGTTTGTACTATTTAGTGTTCACCACAGCCACTGACATACACAGATTTGGTCCAACTAATCCTAAGAAGAGCCCTGTGGGATGACACTGTTCACATTTCTACAAGATAGGTAAAATGTCCAGCCTGAGCATGCTGAGAAAATATGTGTCAGAACAAATTAGACCGTCATCTTTCTGGGGTGCCAACCATGCATGTGAGTTGCACAATCCAGGAACAGGGCTTTTTGAGAGTTCTCCCACTGGGTG